TCCAAGCCCGAGACTCCTGAGACCACCGGCACTGGCTCCAAGCCTGAGGTCCCCGTTGTGACCGCCGGTGCCGCCCAGAAGACCTTCGCCGGTGTGGCCGCTGCCATCGCCGGTCTTGCTTTCGTCCTGTAAAGGAACTAATAAGCAAACCTTCTTCTTCTTCTTCTCCTCCTCCCCGGATTTGGGACCTTTCTCATAGATGCCGGAGTCTCTGCCCGGCAAGCTCAGCATTCATCACGTCTTTTGCTCTTGATAGCAACAAAACACGCAAATGTGTAACGTTTAACGTTCTTGGTTTATTCTTACACCAGTCGGTATAATTTGGGTAGATCTGGCTCTGGGATATCTTGTACGATAGATTAGGGTCTCGGCTGTCCATTTCGATGGTGGTACCTTTTTGGCGATTAGAAATCAGTAGTATTTCGGCTTTAATATGGCTTTATGACTTTATTCTTATAGAGGATTCTAATGTGACAGTGATTCTCTCTACTCTTTCTCCTTTCTGATCATTGTGACTTTTTGACTGTGGCTGAGTTGAATTCAACAGAATCGTCTAATAACTACGCTTATCTTTAGACTTATGTGAAAGTCATCCAAGTCATCTTGCAAGTAAGGGGGACTGTCGATAAAGCCGGTTCCTTGCAGATAAATATGCAAGGGACTGTCGTGTAAGTCAGCCTCGGGAGAAGCTTTCTGACAGGTTACTGCAGACAAACACAATTGGATGGTCATGAAGTGGATTCTGACATGCACTAGTTATAATTTCTTTTTGTGTCTGGAATAATACGCAGTGGAGATTCAGTATATCTCGATCTCGGTGAGAAATGATGACAGTAGACAACTTTTAGTAATTAACCGCGATATCATAACATCAATCACCTCGTGCTCGTAAACAGCTTCTAAATGGTCAGAGGTCAAACCTTGGGTTGCATTGAGTAAAAGTTCCTCTGCTCTGCTTTCGTGAAGTGTTGGCTTGGCGAGGTGATACTGATAACAACGTGACCAACAGCGTTGACAGCGCCCGCAATGGTTTTTACAGTTGATGTTGCAATCATGTCAATTGAAGTGCTTCTTACAAAGCATACCAAGTCTTTTGTTGTTGCGGTCTGGAAAGTCCAGAACGGATAAATGATAAATACCTGGTCTCTAGGCAGCCGGATTTCACGATAGTATCCTGATTGCTGGAAGAATGACGCTCCTAGCAGTGTCCAATAGAAGAAGTAAAATGACGGTAATCGATAAAGCTTAGGGCTATGAGGAAAAAGATGCGAGCCGATGGGTATTGTACCCCTGCTAGGTGATAGCATCTCGCAACTCGCTCGGTTAATATCCATCACATCACCTTGGATCCAGGGTTCAAGGGTACCCGTCCCGCATCGTGCACGGTGAGCATTAATGCAAGACCGTTTATGGCAGTTGCAAGCTCTTATCATCAAGGAAATATGTTATAGTTCTTAACGTCCGGTGACTGACATCTTGATAGAATGGCATATATGTAATGCGAGCCTCGAATAACAAGAATGTCGTGATATTGTACGGGGAGTATCGGGCTTCAAGTGTCGCAAGAGCGGAGTAAAGCCTGTTTCTGGTGAAGATGACCTTATGCTAAATGCCTGCGTGCAGCGAAATGGAACATGATGCTGTACAACAGCGGGCCTTATCCCTTGTGTCGGTACGACAAGGATGGGTACGTATGTAATTGCGGTCTGAGCTTGATTGAAGATGTTTACGAGATGTTCATTTCTTATCGTGCTTTAATTACCGTGCTGGTACTCGTTGCAACTATACCTTTGACCTGGAGCCGATGGAGAGCTATGGAGTTGGCTATATGGATGAGGCGAATGATTTCAAGAGCGGCTGAATATTCTTGTTTGTCTAGTGTCCAGAAACAGCAAGATTCTTCTTCGGAGCAAAGTGACAGGGTCCGAGATCCTTGATTGGCCCGGTTTGTCCTGGTCGGATGGTGCAAGATGCCTGACATGGGCTGGACATGGCCTGGCTACAGTACCCAAGCTTGGAATACCCAGAGCCTTGGCTTTCCGTGTATGCATGGATCTTGATGACAGGTGGTCTTAACAATACCTTGTCATCAATTACTGTATTATTTAATCGTTAACTGACCAAATAAAACAATGTAGAATAGAACATCTTTTCACAACAATTCATGCCCAAGACCCCTCATGTCAGTGCAACCCTTAATGCGCGAATGCGGAGCCGAAAAGGCAGCGGAAAAAGGTGGAGGTGAGTGTGTGTGTGTGTGACTGTGACCGCCAGACGAGACTGCATGGAAACCCTTGCTCCTGATTGACTTGAGGCGTTATGATTTGCCTGGTGGCTTCTGAGCGGTACCAACAGACTGGAACTGGTCCCCTCTTTAGGTCATCTGGGGACAGCCACACTTTTTGTTTGTGCTGTATTTTTGGAGAGCAATGGACTTTTTCCAGATTCTCAGAAGCGATGTCATCACAGTCACAGTCACCGTGATATACAGACAGACATTGCCAGGTGATAGAAGTGATGGTATGATATGATATGATGAGGTTTATATGCTAGTCATGAGCACGCTAGAAAACTGTAAAAAGTGACAATCCCTTTCCAACATCATTAATAGACGTGCATGTTTCTCCTCTTTTTTTCTTGATAGCTTCCCCTTCGCTATCGTTCTCAGTATGGAGTAACTTTTTAGTCTCTTCGGAATGGATTCTCTCTAACCCAACTTGGTCTGGTCTTAACGTTTACCGTCTCTTTTTTAAAAAGCAACTCAACTGACCTTTGCTCTACTCTACTTTACTTGCCCTGAACCCTTGATCAGTCTTTCTCTTCAACTTGACTCTTTATATGTCGATGCCAACTGAGCCTCACAGACATCAACACTAAAGCCAAGATATCACCACGCATTAGCTTAGCTTCGTCTTCCATCGACTTACACGGCCCTAAGCTTGTAGCGCCTTATCCGCTATAAGGTTACTGACGTCAGGTCGATCTACGGAGGAGAGCGCCATCCCGCTCAATCTCACCTTAGCGTCTTCCACTCCCTGACTATCTCCTGTCCTACTTCAACGGCTCAAACTCTCTCTGTTTGATGTTTGTTTTTGACTTCAACACTATAAAATCTCTGTTGTGTCGACCCTCGATCGTCACCCGCGGTATGCGCATACCCCTGTAAATGCGCTCACGATAATGAACTCGCCGCCCAACTCATTCTCTCGTCAATCCGGCGATTCTCCATCCTCCAAAACCCCCAACCCGAAAGACAGCGCCGGAAAAGATCAACATCTTGTGTCCCGCCATATGGTGCCCCCATCGCCGGCGTCTTCGACGACATCTCCATTGGCTGTAGGCTCGGCCCACGAAGCGGCTCTTATACAAAGCATTGAGCGAGGCGATTACGCGACCGACGACGACGAAACACGGAGTCTGACCGACAGTATACGACAACACATTGTAGAGGGTGGTTTGCGGTATCATAGGTACGGATGAATACGGAACGTCCCTGCTCAATGGCTGACAGAAGATCACAGCTACCATGCAGGGAAATACCTCTTCCCTAACGACGAGGCCGAGCAGGATCGGGAGGAGCTCAAGCATAATTTGACTGTGTATCTGTGTGATGATAGACTCTTCTTTGCGCCAATTGAGCAATTATTGGAAGCAGGAGCCGAATGTCTCGACCTCGGGACTGGAATAGGAAAATGGTGCATTGACCGTGAGTCTCACCCCAAGGATTCCATTCCAAACCGGGAGTCTAATTGCTGACCCGAATAGTTGCTGATATGTACCCCAACTCACAATTTCACGGCATGGACCTTTCCCCTATACAGCCGGACTGGGTCCCGGAGAATGCCATCTTTGTTGTCGACGACATAGAGCACGAAGCTGGCTGGACCTATGGAGACGAGACCTTTGATTACATACATATACGCCACACAGTTCATTCCATCAAAGACCGAGAATTGCTCTGGGAGCGAATCTGGAAGTATGGCATTTATTCGCCCTTATCTGATCACAAGCTGACTCTCACACAGACACTTGAAACCAGGGGGTTACGTGGAAGCACAGGAGTTTAACTACATCGCAGCTTGCGACGACGACTCATGCGACGGTCCGTACGCTTGGAGGGACTATTGCAAATATCTCCAAGAAGGGATGCTAGCGCTCGGAACAGATCTCCACGGCATCACTCACGTCGGGCACGAACTACACGAAGCAGGCTTCGAAAACATCACAACCAAAGCCTACAAGTGCCCACTAGGTCCATGGGCAAAGAAGAAACGACTTCAAGAATGTGGCCATGTTTTGAGAGACGTCGTCATGTTGTCGCTCCATGGTATATCTCGAAAACCGCTTCGTGATGGTCTCGGCTGGACAGCGCTCCAGATCGAGATGTTCCTCATCGAAGTTCGAAAGTCATTGACTCAGGAAGTCAATGGCTTACCCAAGTTCCATACTTATTTCCCTTACTTAAACATTCACGCCCGGAAGCCCCTGAATTCGCAAAGGCCGATCAGGGAAGACGCGTGAGAGCTAGGTGTTGCGTGCGGGAGACACCACGACGCGGAGCATATACGACATTGCATATTTCATAACGATTGGACGAGACATAACTTCATCAGCATAACAAAGCATCAACACAAATGGGAGCATGGCCTGGCGTTTGACGGATTGCATAAGAAGGCTAATTAGAGCCCGTGACGAGATATCACTTACAAGGCGTAACTGAGCAATTTCTCTTTTTTCTGTACATGGGAACTCAGCCGACACAATAGATAGCCGGCGAAATACTATCATAAATCATGAGCATTTCAAAATCCGGTAACATAATGCAAACTCAGCATGCGATGGTCTGCAGTAGCCCTAACTCCGAAAACCTTAGATCATGTAATATGACTTGATCCAAGCTTATAATGTGATCTAGTATGTTTCAAGCTGACTAGAATATCTTTTACTCAACTCTTCGTGACATGCCATATGATATTCTCAGATGATCACAAGAATAGATCCTATTCTGACCTGCTGTCATGCTCAACAGCCCAGAGATCACCAAATCGACTTCCCGGCGTCTCGACGAGTTCCCTTGGCCCACCAGACTCTACAACAGTACCCCTGTCCAGAACAATAACTCTGTTAAAAAAGTCCATTACCATCTCAAGCCGATGAGACACCATGACAATTGTATAATTCTCGAATTCTTCACGAATAATCTCTTGCATAGCCCTGTCGGTTACCTTGTCGACACTGCTGCTCACTTCGTCAAGCAATAGCAATCCACCTCGCTTCTCACCCACGGCAAGGCGATCGCGCACCCTACGACGTAGAATCGCTCTACCGAGGCTGAAGAGCTGCTTTTGTCCAGCACTGAGATCATCGGCGCTCATACCAGCGTTGAGGCTGCCTTTGTCTTGGACAAAGCCTGATAACCGCACCGTGTTGAGAACGTTGAAGCATTCCACGTCCGTGGCTGCCTTGTAAGGGTCGATGTTATCTTTGACAGAGCTGCCATCAGGAAGAAACACTGCGTCCTGGGGAATGCAAATGACGCGCTTGCGCAAGGTAGCGCGATCTATTTGATGAAGGTATATGTCGTCGATCGTCATGTTCGAATCGCAAGAGGGGAGAGGATCGATGAGACGTAAGAGGAGAAGGATCAGAGTTGACTTTCCACTTCCTGTACGGCCACAAACTGCTACTTTCTGGCCGGGCAAGATGTCTAGCTCGAGGTCACGTAGTGCCAAGCTAGAAGTAGTTTCGTCTTGCTCGTTGCTTGGAGAATCGTAAGAGGCAGAGACCTTGCGGACTTGTATGCTGCCGCTTTGAGGCCAGGTTTCGGGGGGCTCAATAACTTCGCCCGGTTTATTCTCTGTCTCCACAGTTTCACTGAAAGACCTTAACCGGCTCACAGCGCCTAGCGACGTCTCAAGAGAGGTGTAACTAGTAATGAGGTTTGACAAGGCTTCACTGAAGGTCAAGAGAGAGATCAGACTGGCGCCAGTCAAACCTGCATTGGTTCGAAGCTGAGTTGCAAGAGCGATAAGAAGAACGGCAGTGCCTGTAACAATGAAGTGAAGTAATGTGGCGAGCCATTGTTGAATCATTGCCAGGAGGTATGCTGGGCGCTGGGACGTGTCGAGAAGTTTGTTGCTGTGAGCAATGTCAAATTGTTCCCACCCAAAGGCCCGAATAGTTGCAACACCTTTGATTGTGTCCGTGAAATGTGTACTAAAATGAAGAGTTAGAACTTCGATATCGGCTCGTAGCAAACCAACACTTACTACAATGGGCTTTTAGCCTCAAGGTCGAGGAGTCGAATCTGTCTAGAAGTTCTGAGGTAGAACTTTTGTATAAAGTATAGAATACCCATCAGAAAGGGGTATCCAACTGCGAGATATGGCGACGCTGAAGCTACAACGAATGCTGTGCCAAATGCGTTAGAGATGTCCAGGGAAAAGTTGGTCAGGGCCAGTGGGAGCTCCATATCCAGAAGAGTCATATCTTGCGAGAATAAGTTCGTCACAATACCCGTGTCAGTCTTTGAGAAGAACCTCAGAGGCGCAGAAATAACAGTCAAAATTGCGCGTTCGTGTAGTTCAGTACCTGCCGATGCAGTCATCTTGATCAATGTTGTAACTCCATCGCAGAACAAGAAGACCATATAGCCAGCTCGCAGCATACCATAGATACCTACGTAGAAGGCAAAGGATCTGTTAAAAGCGTCTTCAGCCCAGAATTTGATCCAGACACTGGAAAGACTGTTGCAGACACCGGTTAACATGCCCGCCACAGCGACGATGACAACTGGCCAGAAGCCGACGCTCTTGAAGTAGTGTTTATAAATAGAAAAGTCGCCTTGTTGTCGTGCTTTATTTTCCGCCGCTGATACGTCCTGAGGAAGAATTATAGGGACAGTGGCAGCAGTGGCTCTTGCCATGGGCTTTTCATCGTCTGAAGAAGAATCCGTATCTCTGTGCTTGACGCCGAGGCTGTGAACATACTTTTTGTTCTCTATCAAGTCTGAGAAACTCCCTTCTTCGATGACTGTACCATTACCAAGAGCAATGATATGGTCTGCCAGAGGTAGATTCCTGACTGAATGTGTACAGATGACCACAGTGACGTTGCGTCGACGAGTGATACCCCCTGGTCCAAATACACGTCTAAAGAGCTCTGATTCAGTATCCAGGTCTAGACCACTTAGGATATCGTCGAAAATCATCAGATCTGCTTCAGAGTATAGAGCACGAGCAACCGAAAGACGCTGCTTTTGACCGCCACTCAACATGATACCATTACTGCCAATCTTTGTATCATGACCTTGTGGTAAAAGTACAACGTCCGGTGTGAGCATAGTAGCTTCCACAATTTCGTCGTACTTGGCCTGATCGAAAGCGCAATGGCCAACAATGTTTTCTCGGAAGCTCGCGTTGTAAAGAAAAGGGGTTTGTTCACAGTAGCCGATGCGATGCGATGGTATATACGTTCTGATGATCCCTGAAGCGACAGGCAGCTCCCCAAGTAAAGCCTTACAGAAGGTGGTCTTGCCAGATGCCACTTCGCCCACCACTATGGTGAGCTTGTGAGCCGGAACAGAAGCATGCATTTGACTAAGTGTCAATTTCTCACCTCCCCATCCGAAGCAGCCGTTCTCAACAGAAAATGCTACCTCGTTTGGCGGGTTCGATGGACTTTTCTCGGCAACGGAAGTAGTTTCATGGATTCGGAAGTCATGGCGTGGATCTGCGGCGATAAATCTTTGCACTCGAGCCATGCATGTCAGAGCGGCAAAAATGCCCGGAAGGCTCTGGAAAAGGCCGATGACGGGAGTAGTGAAGAGGAGTATGTATGATAGCGAGGTGAAGAGTGTGTTCACAGTCAACTTTGTGGACGTGAATGCAAAGGTAACGACTGGAGAGATGCAAATTGGGAAGAAGCCCAGCACCGCAGCGCTTATCAACAGCCAGCGATAACTATTCCCAACCTTGATCTCTCCAACGCGGAGCGTCTGTATGAGATCTGCAACAGGCCCAGCAATACCTGAGATTTTGTAGAGTTTCATCTGGGAGATGGCGTTGGCGGTCAATCCCACTCTATTCTGGATCTTCGCCATCCATATGCTCTGCCTCTTGCCAACGAACGTGACCAACCAGGACAGCAAAAGAGCGCAAACACCGATCACGACAAGCGGAGACAGGAACGCTAGACCGATCTTTCCATGCAGAAGCCAGCAACCGATGGCTACTTCTATACTGTTTGCCCAGATATCATGAGCTGTCCCAGCACCCCTGATAATGCGTTCAACATCAGCGCTCATAAGCGTTAAAGCGGCAGAATCATCAGCGGCCGTGATCTTCATCTGGGTTGTCTTTTGGTAAATCGCAGCGACTAGGCAGCCTCGAATCATATAGACGGCCTTTTCCTGATAGTAGCCGTAAAAGGCGGAAGAAAGTCCAATGCCTGCGTAAATGAGGAATGCTGCGCCGATCAAGCCGTAACCCATGTTTTTCGTCGCTGGCGTCTCGGGCATCTGCAGGTACTCAAGAGTAGCATCGATGAAGACGGGCTGGCAGAATTTGAAGGCGATGAGGGCAACGCGAGGCGCAATTGGGAGGAGGAACGGGCTGATGAGTGTTCTGGCCAGGTCCTTCAGAAGTCCAGACTTGAGCTCTTGGCTGTATCTATGCACCCTAATCCTTTTGACAAACTGGCTATACAACTTGCTGGAAACCATGTTCTCATCGAGGGGATAAAGGTCATCTATGGCCAAAACCCCTCGATATCCTCTCATGAAAAGCTGGTTCAGCCAGGCGAAAGCACCAATGCTGAATATGCCGCTCGACTCCTCTGGGCTATGCTCATCAGCATTCCAGTGAATCCATTTTGTTTTAGGAATCGTCTCGAGACATAGAATAATAGCTTTGACGACGACAGATGCAGTGAACAGGCGAGGCTGGATGCCATGTTGAGATGCAAGCCATGCCGTTCTCGTTTGCACAATGTCAAACAGGAGCGTGAGCAATATGTAGACATTGAGCAAAGTCGACGGTCTGCGGGCACAGGAGTGCTCGAATGAGGATAAAACGACCGCTAAGAAGGAGGCGATGGCTACAAAGATTGACCCAGCAATAGAGAGGCCGTGGACAACGCCTGGGGCCCCAGTCGCGATGAGAATTAGAATCGCAACTTGAACAATGGCATAAACGGCCAGAAATGCCTTTTTTTAGTCAGTATCAGCGCGAAATTCGCTTTCCAAGACTCACAATCTTAATCGACTGAAGAACGATACCTCCAACTATCCTTTCGCGCTGTAATAAAATGGTTATGCGGGCAACAGCTGCCGCGACGAACACCGCAGTTGGTATAATTGAAAGGAATATGCGTTCGAATTTCTGGGTGAAGTCGAAATCGCCTCGACATCCCCGTACACCAGGTCCCCAAGAGCCATCATTTAGACAAGTTGAGCTCATTTTGCATGATCTTGGAGGGGGCAGGCAGATAAGAAGCGAAGTAGTTGCCTTTTAATGCATGTCGCTCATGTCAAAAGTTCCTCTTGGGCCTGTCAGACGGCAAAAGATTGGCCGATTGAGTGATAGCCAGCATCATGAAAGGCCAAAATTACGCGTTGCACACGCGGACAAAGACACCGCATTTTGCATCATCGCATTGATGAGAGTTCGTAGGCAGGTAACGCGTGGACTCCAACTTGTTGAGGTTGATGTGATGTCTAAGTTGAAGCATTCGTGGGTTCCATTGAGTAACGTAGAATGACGACAGCGATCAAGCTCCTGCCATTTTAGGAAAGAACGCAGCTTCATACCAATGGCGATGCCTCTTGCTTGACCTGAATTCAAGCAACATCCCCCTACCATCGAATAACTGTCTCCTAAGACAGGTAAAATATGCATCAAGCCTCTTCAAAATTCATCATTGGGATGACTTAAGTTTAGAAGATATTGTGCTAAAGTCCTGTAAACTGAGGTCAGGTTCTGGCCTCATTCTCATCTTGAGCTATTCCCGTGTAACGTTCCCTTGCCGCGCCTGTTTCTCAAACTATCGCTGTCAATTAGAATTGCAGAGGTCAGCAACTGGCATTGATAGAGAAACCCATCGATACCACACACTCTGCAACAGAGGAGAGTATCGAAGTGACCTGTTAGATCCCACCAAATGCAATAGGCTCGCTCTGAATGCAGCAATTCCGAATCACAGGAAAAGAGATATTGGGGTGAGGACAGCCACTTGACTAAAGCCTGAACCCGAGTACGATGATGGAAGCTTCGTGTATCACCAGAATTAAAGATCTTATCATAGGGGACACTAAACTCAAAAATCCATTTCACATCAAGATCCTGACACGATGTATAGACCAGAGCTAAAATTACAGCTACTATTCCACAAAACTCTATGAATCTTCTAAATTATTCGGCAGAACCTCTTTGACAAGGGAGGCGGAGTTTCACTCGGCCGATGGCGGCGGACGAAGAACGGACTAGAAACCGGACAGAGGCGGAGATCGTCGAAAATCGCAGTAAACCGGACGAGACCTCTGGAAGACTGTCCCCTGAAACGCAGCTTATAGGTGGGTCTTGCCGGTCAATCCCTGTTCAGATTGATTAGAGGAATGACAAGGATCCGCTGCCATGTGAAGCTGAGATGTCATATCATGAAAAGAGTGATCGTGAACGTGAATATCCAAACGATCTTGGTAAGATGATCTCATCGCGGGGAGATTCGTCCGATCACTGCAAAGCTCTTCAAATTAAACTGCATTGCATTGCAATATCAACAAAGAATCAATGTGTCACGCCGATGCATGTCTTATAACCTCTTGACTGGCCGACATCCGTACTATTCCATCTTTGGATATGAGTCGAAATGATCGTAAAGTGCTGAATCAAAGCAGCCATTCAAAATCGTATTCTCGGACTTAAGGGACCGCGCCGGGGCGAGAGTCGACGAGATTTCTTAACCGTTGCCCTTTTTTAGCATTTGACGTTTCCACTGTTTCTTCTCCACAGAGCGAGATTGGGTGGATATGATACCCGAGCTTTGGGTTTCAATGTTGCGTTGCAGCGATGAACTCAAAACGTTGACACGGCATTCGAGTCCGAATACGTCTGTGAACGAGAGAAACAATTCATTATCAGATCCAAATTGTGTAGAGAATAGCTCTTTTTCATCAGTTCAGAGACCCCCACAACCCGAGATTTTCGGATATACACGCCTAAAAGTCGTAAGCAGAGTTAAATAGTCCCCCTAGCTTCCCCATCGGAGGGTGTCAATCCTTTACCTTATTTCACTAAACCAATCAGACTCTTTCCCACCTCGGCCTTGGGGGAGGTTCTTAGCCGAGATGAGTCAAATCCTGCACATCTGCCCCACGGCGCTGACTTACTCGTCCACTTGACTCAGGTGGAAGTTCCTTGTCTGAAGCAATTCCCAGCTGGTGGAGCCGACTTAACCCCTGCCCCTACCAGCGGACATTTACAACGGACGGCTTCGTATTGTTGATTGGTAATGCCGGATCAAATTGTTCCAAAGGAGAATATAGACCCATTTTAACTTTTTTGGCTGCACGCACCTTTGTTGACTTATAGTGCGGGATGTCGGCATCTTTTTCCCATGCGCCCTCTTCTCTTTTGCTTGTTAACGGTGAGCCTGTGATCAAACACATTGGCTGCTGTATCATATAACTTTTTATAATAATCATTCTTTATTCCTATAATCATTCTAATCAATACGCCATTTCAACTGAGCTCATCTTAGTGTACTACTCCTTTTCGCGACGGGTGACTTTGGGCTCCCAGTAAAAACGACTTACACGCACGACCCAACCGATATAAGTCACCATGGCGGAAAAAGACCTTGGAAAGGCTGAGGAGGCCATTGCTGCCAACCATCATACTGAGCAGGCTGATCCTGCTTATCGCAACTCTATCGATACCGACTCGACACGCCACGGCCCCGCTGAGCAAAACAACGGTGGTGTATCTATTGAGCAAGCTGAGGCTGAGTTTGCTGAGCTTCAGAGAGAGTTTACTGGTGTCTCGAGAGCTAGCAGAAGGAAGAGCAGAGCTAGTGTCGGCGATCCTGAAAAGAACGCTCATGCTGAAGACAATGAGGTCGAGTCCATCTTTGATCTTGAGGCTGCTCTTCGCGGCGGTCTTGATCGCGAGAGGGAGGTTGGCATCAAGTCCAAGCACATTGGTGTTTACTGGAACGACCTGACCGTCAAGGGCTATGGTGGTATGTCCAATTTTGTGCCTACCTTCCCCGATGCCTTTGTGAACTTCTTCGACGTTATCACCCCTGTTATCCGAATGCTCGGTCTCGGGCCCAAGCCTGAGCAGGTCGCCCTTCTCGACAAGTTCAAGGGCGTCTGCAAGCCCGGCGAGATGGTGCTTGTTCTAGGCAAGCCCGGCTCAGGATGTACCACATTCCTCAAGACCATCGCCAACCAGCGCTGGGGCTACACCGCAGTTGAGGGCGAGGTTCTGTACGGAAAGTGGAAGAACACCGAATTCGACCAGTACCGTGGTGAAGCTGTATACTCCGCCGAAGACGACATTCACCACCCCACCCTTACTGTTGAGCAGACCCTTGGCTTTGCTCTCGATACGAAGATGCCCAAGTTGAGACCCGGAAACATGTCCAAGCAGGAGTTCAAGGAGAGTGTTATCACCACGCTTCTCAAGATGTTCAACATTGAGCATACCCGCCACACCATCGTTGGTGACCATTTCGTCCGCGGAGTCAGTGGTGGTGAGAGAAAGCGAGTCAGTATCGCAGAGGCTATGATCTGCAGTGGTGCAGTCTTCTCGTGGGATAATTCCACTCGAGGCCTTGACGCCAGTACCGCTCTCGATTTTGCCAAGTCCCTGCGAATCCAGACCAACCTGTACAAGACCACCACTTTCGTCTCCCTGTATCAGGCTTCCGAGAACATTTACAACCTCTTCGACAAGGTCATGGTTATCGACGGCGGCAAGGAGGTCTACTTTGGCCCAGCTGCCTCTGCCCGCAGCTATTTCGAGAGCCTTGGCTTCGCCCCTCGTCCCCGCCAGACCAGTGCCGACTACCTGACCGGCTGCACGGATGCCTTCGAGAGGGAGTACGCCCCGGGCCGCTCCGAGGAAAACACACCTCACGACCCTGAGACTCTCGAGCAAGCCTTCAAGAAATCCGATGCTTTCAAGTCCTTGGAAGCCGAGATGGCTGAGTACAAGGCTTCTCTCGCACACGAGGAGGAAACGCATAACAACTTCCAGCTCGCCGTGAAGGAGGGAAAGCGTGGAACATCCAAGCGTTCAGTCTACCAAGTTGGCTTCCATCTGCAGGTTTGGGCCCTTATGAAGCGCCAGTTCACTCTCAAGCTGCAGGATCGATTCAACCTCTTCGTTGGATGGTTCCGCAGCATCGTTATCGCCATTGTCCTCGGAACCCTCTACCTCAACCTCGGAAAAACTTCAGCTAGTGCATTCAGCAAGGGAGGTCTGCTCTTTGTAGCCCTTCTTTTCAACGCTTTCCAGGCCTTTTCGGAACTCGCTAGTACTATGACCGGCAGAACGATTGTGAACAAGCACAAGGCATATGCGTTCCACCGACCCTCAGCTTTATGGATTGCTCAGATCTTCGTCGACCAGGTTTTTGCTGCCTCGCAGATCTTGGTCTTCAGTATTATTGTGTACTTCATGACCAACCTGGTCCGAGACGCTGGTTCTTTCTTTACATTCTATGTTAGTATCTTTCCGCAGTGATATTGGATATTGAGACATAAACTAACTCATTTTGATGCGGTAGCTCATGATTCTGTCGGGAAATATTGCGATGACTCTATTCTTCAGAATCATCGGCTGCATATCGCCAGGCTTTGATCAGGCTATCAAGTTTGCTGTTGTTGTAAGTTGATCTTGAATCTCCCATCTATTGTCCTTACACGAGGCGCAAGTGCGCCGACTTTTGGATCGAACGTGGTTGGTGGATTCAACACCACATCACCAAGATCAAAGATCACGACGAGGCGAAATATACGAAACTAGAGGCCTGGAAATCATTCAATTGCTAATCATACCCAGGTCATCACATTGTTCGTAGTCACGTCAGGCTACATCATCCAATATGAACAAGAGCAAGTTTGGCTCCGCTGGATCTTCTGGATCAATCCCCTTGGACTGAGTTTCTCGGCAATGATGATGAATGAGTTCAAATCCCTGGAAATGACCTGCACGGCAGACAGTCTGATCCCCGCGGGCCCCCAATACACCGATATCAACCACCAAGTTTGCACGCTTGCTGGCTCGAAAGCCGGTACCACCCTCGTCTCTGGTAGCGACTACGTTGCTCAAGGCTTCTCTTATCATGTCGGAGATCTGTGGAGGAACTGGGGCATTGTCATGTCCCTTATCGTCTTCTTCCTTATCCTCAACGTCGTTCTTGGAGAATTCGTCAACTTTGGCATGGGAGGAAATGCTGCCAAGGTCTATGCGAAGCCCAACAAGGAGAGAAAGGTTCTCAATGAGAAACTCGCGGCTAAGAAGGACTCTCGCACCAAGGACAAGTCCAACGAAGAGGGCTCCGAAATCACCATCAAGTCTGAGAGGGTACTCACTTGGGAGAACCTCAACTATGACGTTCCTGTACCAGGAGGCGAACGCCGACTTCTTAACAACGTCTTCGGTTACGTTCGCCCAGGTGAGCTTACCGCTCTGATGGGTGCCTCCGGTGCCGGAAAGACTACTCTTCTGGATGTCCTCGCCGCTCGCAAGAACATTGGTGTTATCTCCGGGGATATCCTCATCGACGCTATGAAGCCAGGCAAGACCTTCCAGCGATCCACTTCATATGCCGAACAGCTCGATGTTCACGAGCCTACTCAGACCGTCCGCGAGGCCTTCCGTTTCTCTGCTGAACTCCGACAGCCATTCCACGTGCCTATGGAGGAGCGCTATGCCTATGTTGAAGAGATCATCTCCCTTCTCGAGATGGAGTCCATCGCCGACGCTATCATTGGAACCCCTGAATTCGGTCTTACCGTCGAACAGCGAAAGCGTGTCACTATCGGTGTCGAGCTTGCTGCCAAGCCTGAGCTGATGCTTTTCCTCGATGAGCCTACTTCCGGTCTTGACAGTCAGAGTGCCTTTAACATCGTCCGCTTCCTCAAGAAGCTCGCTGCTTCAGGCCAGGCTATTCTTTGCACTATCCATCAACCCAACGCCGCTCTGTTCGAGAACTTCGATCGTCTTCTTCTGCTCCAGCGCGGTGGTCGCACCGTTTACTTTGGCGATATTGGCAAGGATGCTCACGTTCTGCGAAGCTATCTCAAGAGCCATGGCGCTGAGGCTGGTCCCACTGATAACGTTGCTGAGTACATGCTTGAAGCCATTGGTGCCGGAAGCGCTCCCCGTGTTGGAGACCGTGACTGGGCCGATATCTGGGAGGATAGTGCAGAGTTTGCTGATGTTAAGGAGACCATCATTCGACTGAAACGCGAGCGTCAGGCTGCTGGTGCCGCGGTCACTGTCAATGATCCTGAGCTAGAGAAGGAATATGCTTCTCCTTTCAAGCACCAGATGATGGTTGTTTGCAAGCGCATGTTCCTGTCTTTCTGGCGATCCCCCGACTACATCTTCACTCGAATCTTCAGCCACGTCGCTGTCGCCCTTAGTAAGTTTTGTCCTAAGTCACTCCAAAATCATACGGCTTTAGCTAACCTTTTCCAAGTCACTGGTCTGATGTACTTGAACCTTGACAACTCTCGTTCGTCACTGCAGAACCGCGTCTTCATCATGTTCCAGGTTACTGTTCTGCCCGCTCTCATCATCACACAAGTCGAAGTCATGTTCCACATCAAGCGAGCTCTCTTCTTCAGGGAGCAGTCCTCGAAGATGTACTCGCCCTTTGTCTTCTCCACATCCGTTGTCCTGGCTGAACTGCCCTACTCGATCATGTGTGCGGTAGCTTTCTGTAAGTTCTCAAAGCCAACAATGCAATTGAACCATTACTCACACGTTTCAGATCTCCCAATTTACTTCATGCCCGGATTCCAGACCGAGCCTTCTCGAGCAGGCTTCCAGTTCTTCATTATCCTGATCACTGAGCTGTTCTCAGTCACGCTTGGACAGGCTCTCGCCAGCATCACCCCCTCGCCCTTCATCTCAGCACAGTTTGATCCTTTCATCATCATCAACTTCGCCTTGTTCTGTGGTGTTACAATCCCCAAGCCTCAAATCCCTGGTTTCTGGCGTGCCTGGATGTACCAACTGGATCCTTTTACCCGTCTGATCAGCTCGATGGTCACAACTGCCCTTCACGGAGTTGAGGTTGTCTGCAAGCAAAGCGAACTCAACCGCTTCACTTCGCCTTCTAACAGCACTTGTGGAGAGTACATGGAGCCCTTCTTCGCCAATGGTGGTCGTGGCTATCTTGTCAATGACGACACAAGGGACTGCGAGTATTGCGCGTACAAGGTGGGCGATGAGTTTTACAGTACCTTTGATCTCTCTTTCAACAACCGTTGGAGAGATTTGGGTATCTTTGCTTGCTTCATCGCAAGTAACTTGATTATCATTATCTTGGCGGTAAGTAATCCTGTTTGAGGATATTTTTGAGACCAACATACTGACTTTTGTTCCAGAGCCGCTTCCTCAACTTCAACCGACGCTAGAGGGTAAAGAAGTTTATTATAGACGATGTGATGGGTTTTGCAGGATGTGTGACGGGTACGATGAAAAGTTCACCATAGACTATACATAGAGAGGAACACTGGTTACCTCATTTAATACATAACTTTACCCACTTGAGGCTTTCTCATCCTAAATCTTTATCTAAGCTTCTACGAGAATTACTAACATTAGGCTACCTAGATGCAAATTTAGACTAGTTTAGGTCTCAAGACTGAAGCAGACGACATTTAAGCCCAATGCCACTCGTGAGACGGCTCGCAATGGGGCATCGCTCAGCTGATAAACTTGCTGTGTTTGTTGGCATAATAACTATCTTCTCACAATCTTGCGCGCCATTTCTGTGTCCTCGTCGCTGAGTAACCTGCTTCTTTCTTGCCTGGACGAGCCATATGCTGATTCAAGCTCATCCCATTCATCGTCTTCCATGTTAGCAACTTCAAGAATCTCTTGCAATCGGGCAAACGGTTCGCGAAGGGCGTAGCCGTCCTTGGCGATGACACTTATGATGCCAGAGAAGTCCGACTCTAACCGCAAACCTCCAAGTGCGGTCACAAGGCCTGAGGAACTCCAAGCACGCTTCTCTAGCACCCTTGCCAATTTGTTAGCTGCTAGGCAGGCCAAGGCTGCGTATGTTCTCGGCGTCATGATGTGCTTCAGGGGTCGTGTCAAGGCCAACCACCCGCCCTCGAATCGCAACGACACTTGCTGTGATGTCTCCACATCGACATCCTCTTCGTCGAATGGCTCCCCTTCCGACACATCGTAAACAGCGTTTTGGAAAGAGGTTGTGAGGATCAGCCTGATCCGGGGCCACAAGACCTCATCAAACAGTGCAAGTATGCCATCGTTCAGAAGCTCTGTAGCTTTAGCACATAGTGCATCTTTCAGCCTCCGAAGTCCATTCGCAACCATTTCGGCATCCCTGCCAAACGTGAAGGAGTCTTTGAGTGTTTGCGTAGATGAGATAGCCATATCAGCACCTTGGGTTTCTGAGACGTAACCCTGGAGGTTAGAATACGGTCTAAGTACTCTTTTGCCATGTCAAGAGTGTTCATCAAAACCATGAAGCTGATGACTTTTTCCTCCCGTGGAAACCCACCCTGGGCGGCTGCTTTGGGATAGCACTCATCTTTCATGCGCCTATGGATGATCCCGATGAAATCCGATTCGAGGACCCTGCTGATAGCCGATGTGGTAGAGACGGTCACCTCTCTGTTTCCCGTAGACAGGATATGCTGTAGAAGATTGTCCACGACGTACATTATGTCGTCTAAGGCTTGCAGGATAAATGGTGGACTGCCATCGCATGGCGTCGATAGTGAGAGGCCACTTGGCGCAGTATCCATCTCAAAAGCCTTCTCTACTGATCTTCGGAAGAGAAATGTTGTCGTAAGTTTATATGGCTCGATGAGCTTCTCTGAAACCTTCTTGTGTAGATCACATTGATGCAGAAATTTCGGAGGCGGTAGCTTTTCTTCTTGGTCGAGGACGCCCTAAAGCCGATGGTCAGTAAGTGATAGCACATATGGATTTGTTTCTCACCTTGCATTTACTTGTAATAAAACGTTTGTAAAGCGACCAACTCTTCAGCATTGATGTCATTTCTCCCAAGAGCCCCTCAACTTTCTTCACGTCCAAGTTGAATTCATCCTTGCTCGGCTCGTTGCCTCGTAGCGCAAAATTGATGCCTCTCTGAAATGGCATCATGCTTTTCGAGAGAAAAGAGAATGGATAACTCTTAATGTCAGCCATCATCCTGGCAACGGACCGCTCTTCGTTCCAGGTATCCAAGATAATTCCGCCCTGTATGTCAGCCTCTTTTTGCGGTCTTTCAATGACCTGCACGACTTTATCAGCGCCGTAGTGCCTCTCTACAAGACCACTATGGCTGTCAATGATTTGCGCAATGTGCTCAAGCAGCCGTGCCAGGTTATTTGCGTAAAATAAATCGTCATGTCTGCCACGTTCCTCATGTGGTCGCGTTAGAGCTGATCGAGCTATTTCCGCCATACCTTAGCAGATATACTGTCCGTAGGCTTCCAGCCCCGTTTCCTCCGCACCACCTCCAATGACTGGGAATAGCTTGAAGAATCTTGCGACCTTTGTACCGTCCCCTTGTGCGGCAGCGGCGTTGAATTCCCTCAAGAACAGAGCACAAAGGCTTTTGCGAGCAGTCTGGATTGTAGCCCATGGGGGTTCCGGAGCCTCAATGCTCGGGACAACGCCTAGAGCGAATTCCCCGCGAACAATATCCTCGGGTATATTTGATACGCGTGAGAGGTAGTTGGCGGCAGCCTCCCAGTCCTGAGGAGCACCCATGCTGCCTATAATACCAGCTATACACGCTTTGAGCTCCATTACTTGCTCAATAATAATCAGCGTAGCCTCAACTCTTTTCTTCTCCATATCTAAAGTGCGCATCATGGTGGATAGTCGCTCAGCGGTGTCGCCTGCGGGACATAGCATTGCGATATGGATGCTACGAGCTGCGATGAGTTGCATATCCAGGTCTCCATGGAGGCTATCAAGGCCGCCTAGATCTCGATAAAAGTTCCTACTGTCCTTCATTGGGGCATCAAGCTTGTAGATGAGAGCGTCCTCCTGCTCATGGAGTTGGTCCAACACATGTCTGAGCTCAGCCTCCGACGAGACAGCCATCAGGTCATTGGTCTTGGCCATTGTATAGGGGCAAATGCTGGGCTCAAGTTACCAGAATGGCAGGAGTACTCGAACAAGTTACAACTTCTGAGATTATGATGGTAAAATTGGCATGCGTAAGGTAGGTAGCTAATTGTCGGTAAGTTAACAAAGCCCAAGCAACAATCCAATGTTGGCTGCAGCTCGAATGAAACGTATGTATCACGTGATTGCTTTTATGTCGTTGGACGGATGGGAAACATTATCACAATGGTGAGATAATTCTTTCGGGTCGTAACACCCTACGCCGTTGGGAACGGCTCGGGTTTGCAATTAAATAGCCTCTTAACTGTTGCGACGCTTGCAGCGACATTGAGCAATGGCTCAAGAAAAGATGAAGAGATATATCCTAAACTATGACGAGAAGCAGAATAGAGAGGTAAATTATATCCTAAACTTATCATAAGAGACCCTAAATTCATCATAACAGGCCCTAAGTTCATAAAATATTATTGTTCGAGAAAGCATGAGTGTTAACAAGGACTTAAGAGCGTTGACCGAGCTTGATCAGGGCTCTGACGATGCCAAGTTTGTGCGCGTCTTGACCATCCCGTCCTTTAGCATTTTGTCGACAGCCTTGAAAATGGAGATAATGTCCATGTAGTTGCCGTTCGACACACAGTGGAAGTTTACAAGATCAGGTACAGGAGGTTGCTCGTCCAGTTTTCCCTCGCCCTCTCAGGCTCGTGTAGGCATACTACACCCAGTTAGTATAAACATCTCTGAGATCGATTCAAGAAAAATACCGGTTACTAAGGTTCTTGTCACAGTTCGTGCACTTCTTGGAGTTGATGCAGGGAAACGTGCAGTCGAATGTGGGCACATCGATGGGCTGTCCCGGAAGAGTTGCGATGGTATTTGACGCCAATGTGAGCGCGGCGTTGAAGCATCGAAGGCAAGGAAGAGCACTCTCAAATTCAACGCCTTGTTGGATGCCCTGATTCTCAAGAGCCTCTGCGCTCAGTCTCTTGGAAGGCGTAGGCGGCTGGCCTCCTTTTCTGTAGGCGCAGAGGAGCCGGGAAGACTTGGACGGATCTGGTCTGGGAACGGTTTGGTGTGATCACCACCGTCAGACATGTTGGGTAGAGTGACCGATGCGATTAGATTTGGAGGGCGTGAAAAGATAAAGTGAGGTGATGAAGGGAAACAAGAGCATTCCGAAGGTATAAGATAGTGTATAGTGTATATAGAAAGCACGTCCTCCTTGGTCACCACTGTCAGATATGGTAGGTGACCGGTGTAAGTAGATTTGGAGAGTGTGAAAAGAGAAAGTAAGATGATGAAGGGAAATAAAAGCTGAAATACCAAAATTCCAGAGATGTGCATGGTCTATAGAAAGCTCAGCAACGTTTGCTAGTACACGCAGCTGTCAACAGCTGCCAGGAGTGACAATAGCTGCAGCATCTGTAACAATAGAACTTTTTGGAACACAATAGAACGTACAACTTTCGCACTCTGAGTAAAATAGATCCTATTGCATAAGGTAATAAATATGGAGGGGAGGGAAAACAAGCTGACACGCAAACATCAGAGCCGCAACTCTCCCACATCAACAACTCCCGCACCTTGATGCCAGCAATCAGCACAATCATAAAAGCCAGCCAGTAGCTCATTCTATACGAGTTATGTGAGTATCCAAATCCCACGAAAATATTCTACTGAATGTTTACTAACAAACCGAAGCAAAGCAACAAGATGGCTGACCCAGAGCCCAAGGCCACACCAGCGACCGCTGCCGAGGTAGCTGACAAAGACGATGCCATGATCCTCAGCGATGACGATGTCAACTTTCTGACCCAACTGGCAACAAAGTTGGATGAACTGGAGAAGACTGTAAATGAACAGCAGAAGACTGTAAATGAACAGCAGAAGACTATAGATGAACAGCAGAAGACTGTAAATGAACAGCAGAAGGCCATACAGAAACTTGTGGAGCAACAACAGCAAGGCCTTACTGGTCACAGCCAAGGTGCCTCGCAGATTGCCGAAGACGACGATGCAATGGAGAACTAGGCCGACGACTACGAAGATCAAGACCAAGACCAAGATGAGAGGGAGGCTCTCTTCCCACTGGAGTAGGGTATCTTCTACATCAGAGGCGGAGCAAGGTCAGAGCTGGTGTTAATGAATCTGCTTAACGTCACCCAGCTGGGGTCAGATTATCTAGCTCGGGAATAAATCACTGATTCTTCTCTGTTAAATTATTAATTGTCAGCTATCCCCTCATGTTTGTCCATGAGTAACAGTCTTGTTGTTTCAAACTCAGTATAAACAGTAAAAGACTGATGCAACTGTCAGTATCCCCATTCTATGCGCTCATAACAACTGTGTTATTCGTTGTTTGCACCAAAATCACCGCCGGAAAAATATCAATTATCGCAAATTTTGATTTGTTTTCTTCTTGTTTTTACTATCTACATCCAAAATGCACCAAAGTTCAAACATACATATGCAATCCCGCTTCCTCGTGTTTTCCCTAGGTACCATGTACAATCATATCAAACCCAAACATCAATCACCTCCTCCTCCATCCGTATACAGAACAGCCGTGAGAGTCACTTGCGCAGCGGAGACTTTGGTTCCGCAGAAGACCTCCTTCGTGTTCCAGGCTTCTTCTTCGTATCACCATTCGCACCTCCGTTGTCCTTTGCCTCCTCAAGCGCCTCAAGAACAGCAGCTTGGTCGGACCTGAGAACCACACCCTCGGCGATGACTTCATCGCGACAGACGAACTGCGGGAACAGAATCGCGAGGACCGTCGGCTTAGGACTTCCCTTTGTCTTGCGAGCATTGCCGACGTCGTAGTCATCATACTGGCGCGCACCTCGAGAATCTTCTTCATCGGGCATCTCTGCAGTGATCATGTCGCGAGAGCGCTGCGTATCGGCCCAAAGTGCAACAGCCTGTCTGAACAGCGTCGGGACAGCATTATAGAAGCCAGTCTGTTTGTAAGCCACGACGAGCGGGTGCAGAGTGCTTCGCACCTCGTTGCTCGCTTTGCGTACAATGTCCTCTTGGACCGTCTCAGTTTGCTCAGAATCAGAGAGGGATCCGAGAATTTGAGAGCGATACACTGTCTCTCGGCGCTCATCCCCTTTAAAGAAGCCAAGCATACTAGATGCAGTGGCCCTCATGTCGCTAGCGACGTAGAAGGGGACAAAGACATAAGAGAGGAGTGTTTCCGCGATGACAGCGTCAGCCACAGCACAGCGCATCTTGGCACTGGTTTTGGTGGTGCGAGTTGAGAGTGGGATCTTGGGGAAGCGCGCATGAAGTTCCTGTATCTCACTCGCAGAGTCCTGGCAGTTGTCAGTATAATTCAGAGAGCGCAAAACGCTGAGTCCTACCTGTGCGCCATCGTGATCGTTGAAATACTCATTGACAAAGTCGTGAACCTTCTTTGACAGCTCCTGGAGGTCAGATCGCCTATCCTCGTCAGTTCAACCCCTTTCTCACATCAGAAAAACTACTCACAGCTTCTTGACCTCCTCAGTTCCAAAGTCTCGCAAAATACCCTCCCCAAGATCACTCTGCGCCTGCGTCAACTTCTCCTTACACCCCTTCAACTCCTCGATATTAGCCTCCATCTGTGATTTCTGCAACTCACACTCCGCATTCATCTCTCTAATCTCAGAAGCATGACTGGTCAAATGCGCCTCTGCAGCCGCCAGATTCTGCTTCAAACTCTCGACCTCTCCCTCCTTCACCTCCGCAGCAGCGAGTTTCTCCCTTGCTTCTTTGACCTCTCTCTCCATGGCTTCAACGGCTGCCTTGTTAGACTCATAAGTTTTGTACTTCTGTTCAAATTCTGCAAAGAGTGTTTCAGTCTTTGCGTTGGCTTGCGCTTTGTGGTCTGAGAACTCTCGCACGATCTTGTCGTTGAATTCGCGGAGACGCTTGTTCTCGCCTTGTTTGGCTTCGAGTTCTTGCTTGAGAGCTTCGCGCTCCTCAGCTGACTTCTCAAAATCTTCAATTGAGCCGACATCTTTGGAGACTTCTTTTGCTAGAGCGAGGAGTTGCCATAGCTTGGTGTTCTTGGTGGTTGTCTTGTCGGTCGTGCCATTGACATTGCCATTAGTATGGCCATTGACCTTGACCTTTGTATCTGCCATGATTGCCTGAAGAATGAAGTATCAATTTTATCGCTAGAAATGGTGGACATTTTAAACTCGTCGCTAAATACACGATCGGGGATTCTCGATTTTGAGGCCATCGCAGAGCCTCATGGTCCGTTCGTGGGCTTGAGGGACAACTCATCAGCACACCACCACACCGGTCAATTAAGCAAGTCATCTTCCACCCCGCCCATTCCTCCTACTGGTTCGTTTCCAATCGCTGTGTCCAATCCTCGAAATATCAGGGCTGGAGGGCGTTACACAACACGCGGGGTAACCCCAATGACATTGAGCCTTTCGGCACCATCATTGTCTGCAGAGTCGAGCCTCAAAGCAAAAGTCGTCGCAGTAGCCTATTGAGGTGTTTTTTGCTGTGTGACGGTGAGCGCATTGTTTGGACAATTGGCTATCGACGTTTGGGTATGCGGTCGCCTTGCGATGAATTGCCTGAGGCCCTTTGCAGCTTCAGCCTAGTCTTGTGCTTCCTCTTCCTTCTCCTTCTCTTTCTTTCCCTTGTGCTTCTTTCCCTTATCTTCCTCTTTCTTGTCCTCCCCCCTCATCTCACCCCTGCCATCGCTGAGTCCAGATTTGTCGAATAGATGAAGCTCGACAGATTGAGGCACACCACCAAGAACAGGCTTCGGCAAGACTTGCTTGTGAACGCTGTACCAGCTTTCCTTGTCCATAAGCTCAAACAGGACGTCTTCTGATTCGTGGCGAGGCTTGGTGGCTAGGAATACTTTTGTAGTAAATGGCTCGCCTTGCGGGAAGTAGGTCAGATTTGCTGCATGGATGGCTGAGAGCGTTTCAACAAGCGCTGGCAGCATGTCGACATTGTAAGTGCAGTCGCTGAGCATCACGAGATCCCAAGGTCCAGATCGAACCTCAGGTCCAAAGCGGCCTTGTCTGCCCTCCTCCCAGTCAAGATTTTCGTAGAGCATTCGAACAGGGTTCTCCTGGAAGCGTAGATGAGAGTTCTCCAACCTCTTCATGTTGGATCTCGCGCGCTCCTCAGCTTCCGGTAGATCAGTCATGAGAATGGTGCAGTCGCCACCTTCAGGCTGCAGTCGGGGGTACACAGCGGCGAGCCCAACACCCAAGATGCCCACACCGCAACCCAATTCCAACACACGGATCGACTTCTGACGGGTGAAGATATTCTTCATTGTTCTCATGCAGGGGTTTTGACTGGACTCGCAATCGGGAGCAGTCTCGATACCTGCGAGTGCGCACGTCGCTATCACGCCGCCATCCCAGATGTGACGCGCAATACTCTCACCGATCTCCTCCTCAATCTCAATTGTTCCCAGCCCCTCAGGTGTGTCGTTCAGTTGGAGTCTTCGAATCGACACAGCATTGTCTGCTGGTGTGAGAGTTAGAGGCACCCAAGCTGGCATGACAGCGCCCTTCTCTGCAGCTTCTTTCCGATACCGCATCTTCTCGGCCGACAAGGCCAGAATGCGTGGGACACTCTCCGCGGTGTGAACAGGCTCTGATGCCCGTACACATACATGGACTCTCATTCCAGATTCAAGAGCTCGTTCAAGAGCGACGGGCATTTCCAATGCTGGCTTTGCAACGCGCATGCCGGGTTCCCAATCGAGATGTCCGGGGTCTGAGAGGAGCCATGTTGAGCTTCCTTCGGGTGAAGCGGCGATGGCGACAACTTGTAGGTCTAGAAACCTCTCTGGGAAGAGAAATGAGTCGCCGAGGTCTGTTGTGATGGTGAAGAGCAGCTGGACCAGGGTGCCGCGGCGGTTCTTAATCACCTTGGGTGGCCCCAGAAATCTGACATAGTGCATTGTGACGTGATGAGACTTTTAACAGCTCAGAAAAGTCCAGGGTATCTCTGTGTTGATTTGATCTTAATTGACTTGCCAGGCGTTGTAACTGCGGCCGTTCTTGTTGTTTATTGAACCTCGGGTTGAGCTGATCCAACCCAACCTCTCGCATGAGATGATGGGGAATTTTGACCAGCTACTGCACGCTTAGTCATCACCGCTGCATTCACATGAATCCGACCTTGAATGACAATAATGACAGGATTCATATAAGATAGGTAAGATGTGTCATAAGGAGTAGGAAATAATATACCAGAAGGAATCCGATAATTCTTTAACAATAAATGAAATGATAGGCACTTTGGAGGTTTGTGGAACTAGAGTGTTGGGTGACAAGACTCTGCGAGGTCAATCAACTTAATCTACAAAATTGAAGGCCCCAGAAATTAGTCAAAAATGTCGTCAAAATACTGGCGCCGGCTTGTAAGTCTATGAGACGACTGTCCATACGGTTGAGGACTGACCTTAAGAGGATGGTGTTGACTGAATGTTGAAAGTCAACTCGGAGTGAGAAGTCACCTACCCGAGACTTCGTGTGCACTCTCAGGTGCTGCCGAGTGGTCAATAGAAAAAGAGGAAGCTTTGAAGTCGTCTGCAACATATGAGGTAGGTTCAAACATGTCGTTAAATTGAGAGCAGATTCTTGCCTTAATCAGGATCAAAGCGGATCAAGCATATGCTCCGTTGATCACGCCTTGACGGACCGTTCATGCGTGCGCTATAAAAACATCCACTCAACTCTCGCAATAACCTATTCGCAACACCTTGAAACGTCACTGCAATGTCTTCCGTCACCGAGAAAGATGGGGGTCAGCTACACGATATCCTACAGACTAGAACCTGGTTCGGGTTTGATCTAGACGATACTCTCCATGAATTCCGCAAAGCAAGCCGTGCAGCCACAACTCGCGTTCTTACACGCATCGCCAACGACAACCCATCAACTACACTCCAAGATCTTCAAACCCAATACGGAATCATTCTGAAGCAAGGAACCGCTGATGCATTCACCGATGGAAAGACCTCAAATGACTACCGTCGGGCTCGCTTCGCTGCCACACTGAGCCATTTTGGATTGAGTCACGATAGTGTCGATGAGCTGCTAGAGGACTACGAGCGTGTTCTTGTGGATAACTTGACACTCAAACCAGGAGCTGTTTCTCTTCTCGAAGCAATCAAGGCGTCCGGAAGAAAGATCGCAGTGATTACAGAAGGACCGCAGGATGCACAGCAGCGAGCAGTGAGAGACCTGGGCATCGACAAGTACATCGACTTTCTCGCGACCACAAACTTCTTCGGCGTGGCCAAGATCGATGGACTCTTCGGCAAGGTACTTGATCATCTTCAGATCACACCGCAAGATATCGCGTACATCGGCGACTCGCAGGAGCGCGATATCGAGCCCGCTACCAGAGAGGGGATACTCGCCATTCACTTACACGAAGCTCAAACAGCGCCACTTGTGCTACAGCCTCCCAGCATCAACTCGCTCGAGGTACTGGCCAAGCTCATCTAACCTCTGCCGCACACAAGTCTGAGACGAGACATGCTCGTGTCCGTCGACAAAAACACAGCGTTGCAAGGCTGAGAAAGAATCTACCCGCATGTATATGTAGCTCAATCGATACACCCGTCAAACGTGTCCGTCTCTTACAGGATACTCCCGACTATCTGACTTACAACAACATGCTGCGTCTAACAAACAAATCAGACAGGTGCAACATTTTGTGCAACGTGAAGCATTTTCAGCTGATGTCGTACATAATAATCATCCCACGGCACTGGGCCGAGACATCCAAGTGTCATAGAGTTCTACAACAGTATCTTGCTGTATAAGAGGTTGAACTTGGCATTCTATAATTAATTATTTACTGCACGCTCAGCCTTGTATGTACTGCTTATGTTACGTTGTGCATATTTTGTCGGGGTTACATTACTTATTAATTCTTTCTGCAGGCTGAGCCTCGCAGCTTAGGTATGAATCCAGCCCGTGGGTGTTACACACCTGTCATCCCCAGGATGTAATCACGGCTACACGCATTGCAATAATCCCAACCTCCCTCACGGGATGACGGGCGTCTTAGACGCCGGCGCACGGGGGGAGGGGGACCTTTGCCGGACACACATCACATCACATCACATCGTGGTGTGGTGTGGTATCAAGGTTACGGTTACAATTGGGGGTTGCTCACAGACCACATACAGTAGAAATGTGCTCTGTAGAACCCCAACATGCAAACATTTCTAGACTGGGATATTTCTCTCACTACGGCCTCAATCGAGACCCCCCCTTCCGCCTTATCACATCACATTGGATCACATGTGCCTCCCAGATGCAAGATCCAGCATATCAATCTGGCCCCCAACCTCCCTTCCCTCTAGCCCCTCCTCTACCCTCCATATGCCACACGTGGTAAAAACCGCGAAAAAAGGGAAAAGCAAGGTAATTCACCTCTTCACTCATTGGCCTTGTAGCCGCTCGCTGCACCCACACCACCACTAACTAAGCCTCTCTCAGTAACAGCCTTCAATCCACGAAAGAAACTTTTACTAAATAGACAATGGCTGATTGTGACAGTTTCATACATGACAAAGTTCGCTGTCTAGCAAAAACTCAAGATACGGCATTCCCGGAATAACGCACGTCTAACGCCTCAGCTTCTAGCTCTCAGCTTTACGAGTCAAGGGAAAGGATTCATTCCACAAAGTCCCCAACACCATTTCTCAACGGCATCTCCACCTTTGTATGATCTGAAACCCACTGATTCCAACGTTTAGCTCCCTCCACTCCAAGCACCTGCAAGTCATTCTTTCAAAGTTTCACACATTCCAATGCCCAAGCCCCTCAGCGCGAGTCGTGCAAACTGGCTGAAACAAAGCCTCTCAAGTCTACGGTAACGATCGCTGGTCAGGTGTTCATCGTCAAATCCTGGAATATCCCAGTAAATTACATCACAGCCATGTTAATCAATCCTACAAAAGTAAATGTCTGTTGCTTCAATTCAAGGGCTCTTGAAACTGCATGACGCATTAGTTGTCCAGGGGTTGCTTGGCCATGACCTCATGCCGGATCGTCCATTCACTAACCCACGTTGTAGAAGTAAAGTGCCTCAAACCAAGCCATTTGCGTTTATACCCCTCTCGCTCATACGCGGGGTTCGTTAAAACGGAAACACGAGGGGATAATCATGTCCAAACAGGATCAGGAAACGCAACAACCAAATGCGGCACTGTGGTGCTTGGAGGTACATTGTATACAGTCACATCAAACCTCATAGACATCACCAAGAACAGAGATAGTTGTGTAGATAGTTTGCGATTTTTTTGCCTAAATATTAAAATAATCGAAATCAAAAGTATCCATCTTGAAAGTGGTATAACCAATCCTTAACGCCCCCAACCCCTCCTCATAGCTCTAATGCATGAGGACATTGCTTCCATCCATCAATGAGGAACGTTAAAGACGTCAAATCCTCCAGATTACCGTGTAGTAAATAGCCTTCCGTTCTAAGTGTCAATCACTTTTGTTATCCTAAAACGCGCTGATCCCAAAAGACAAGATAATATCCAAGCTCCAAAAACAAAAAGAGTAAAAAAAGAAATCGGAGTCTGTCACTCCTTGTCATCACTCAAGATGACTCGCTTGCTTGCTTGCTCCCCCTCGCCAACTGCTCGCGTCATTCCGAACGGAAAAAACACTGGGTATCTCGAATTGGAAGAAAAAGAAGCCCCCTTGATATCGATCCCCTCCTCCGCGCGCGCGTTTGCATTGCTGGTGGTACAGGTCGCCCCATGAGTCTTGGTGTCTTTGTTTCGATTGCCAAGTCAATAAAAAAGAAATCGCTTCCTTGGGACGAGGTAGAGATGTCGTAAAAGAAAAGATAGATGGAAATCCTTGTGATGGGTATGAGTGTGTGTCCAGGAGATCCGGGTAATAGTGGTAGTATACAACGGATATGGGCATCCAGTCCGGCGAGCTTTGGTAAATGTCACTGGCCAGTATCATAGGATCCTCAGGTATAGGTATGGTAGGGTCAACAGAAACAATCCAGGGGTCCAATGGATGATCCGCTTATTTGGTAGGGTTCCGGAGAATTTCTTCACAGTTGGCGTCAAAGCGAAGGTTGAAGAGCCTCACGTTCTGCATAAACTTCTCCGTCTTGTCGAGCTCTCGGTCACGTCCAAAGAGGGTCTCAACAAATTCGACACCAGCATTCTTGCCAAGGCCAGCTTGCTTGCGCTTGGCAGCCTTGAGCATGGGGGCTTCACAGGCCTTGAGAAGGGATCGGAGCTTCTCAGTGAGGCGCTCACCGGCCTCGATGAACTCCTCAACAAGGTCACGGTTGTCAGGAGTGCGGACGCGACCGACTGTCTCCTCAGCTCGCTTGACCTTGCCAGCGAGCTGAATGAGAAGCAGCCACATCTCACCAGCCATATCAGAGATGGGAGTGGCAGGACCTTGATGATAGACGGTCCAGTCATAGATCCACTTTCCAAGACTGTTGGCATCAAAGACACTACCTAGGAGAAGGATGGGCTCTTCGGCAGGGTCCCAGTTCTTGAGTGAGTATCCAGCAGGAATGCGGTGCTTGCGAGCATCGGCATCAGTGGCCTTGGGAGTAGAAGGGGTAGAAGCGGGCTTGCTGCGGTGTGAGCTGGCGGGACGGACAGTCTGTGGCCGGGGAGGGGGAACCGCGGTGGAGGATCGACGGCTGTGGCCGAAGCTGGTAGGAGGTCGAGGTTGAGGCTGAGGCGACTGGAAAGTGGAAGCCTGCTCTCGTGTGTAGTAGTCATCGTAGATAGCGGCGGTGGTAGCACCCTGCAGGTAGTCGTCGTAATTAGTGTACCGTCCCCGGTCATCATCAAAGTCTCGAGGTAGGAAAGCGGATTTGCGGTGATGATTGATCTTGGAGCGGGACTGTGCGGGAAGCACATATGTATGTCCCAGCGCCTCGATGATCTCGTCCTCGTCGGATTCTCCATATGGGGTGGAAGCCCGGACATAGGTAAATGAGAATCGGCGGTCGCGCTTGGAGCGCGGAGATGACTCGGAAGGCCTGCGCGACGAAGAAGTTTTGTGACTCACATCTGCCGTGCTATATTGCCCAATGCTGTTGTAGCGAGGCGAGTCCTTTGGAGGACGAGGGCTGAAGTCGCTAGCCTGAGAGTAGCTGTTGAATCGCGAATGAGCCGCTCGCGTCGCTGGCCGCCTGGGAGTCGAGTCGGCCCAGGTCGGCCTCGGGGAAGGGGTTGGAGTTGCGGACGACATCCTCGAGTAGACGCTGTCGTAGTCGTGGATCGGCGTCGATCCAGGAGTTCGTGGAGATTTGTAACTCATGTTATTGTGTGGCGATGTCCAACTGACATCCGCTGTTTCCAGGGTTCAAACAACTGGTCTCCTCCCGAGCACCCGCAGTTGTTGGGTTGTCGTGTCGCTCGCGGATTTTCGGAGTTGTTATCGTGTCTTTTTTTGTCTTTTTCTAGTGAGTAAGTTGAGTTGGCTTGTCAGGAATGTCAAGACTGCATGCAAGCAGATTCAACGATCAAGATGCGCCGGGGAAGAGACGCCCAAGGGGAGGTGATGGAATAGGCCCGTCACCTCGGTATGTAGTCGGAGGAAAAGAGGTTAGAAGATTCTTTTGCGACGGCGAACATGACCGATGGGTATTATATCTCTCCTCAACTTGGAGGAATAGGCACCAGATCCCGTGGAACCTGGTAGTAGTGCCGAGAAGACGCTGGACGCTTCGAGGGTCCAGAAGCCAGATGAGTAATTGATTGAGAAAAAGAGCGATGACGTCGATGCAACGACGTGCTGAATAAGTTTTGATGAACTTGTTTGGGGATTCAGAGTGATTGGCAATCGCCAAGATACGTGAAGGAGAGGAGGAAAGGAGGGTGAGCGGGAAGCAACAGAGATATATATTCTAAGATTTGTGTGTGTGTCTCTGGGTGTGGACACCTCACGTACCGCACCGACTCCCAAACCTGCCTACACTACCTTAGCGGGTGATGGCAGGGGAAGACGCTAGTGGGAGGAGGGGCCCGACCGGGGGTTGAGTAAAAAAAAGTGAGGACAGGGGTATCAGATAGGGGCAGGGGGTGGAAAAGCCGCAGGCAGGCTTTGTGAGGGTGTGGTAGAATTGAGTGACTCTTCCAACAGCGAGACAGGGGTGCAACCTGGCTTATGTAGGCTTCGCATTTGCACTCTTCCCGCCGCTGAACTTGATTCCAGTGGTTGCAGTGACTGCAGCGCTTTGGTGTGCTGTGCTGCTGCGCAATGCTGAGCGAGTCCTGGGTGATTAATTTAGAATCTTTTGTGCTCTTTTGACTGACAATCAGTCTCAAGTCGTGCTTTTATTCGATGTCGCTGGCGAGCACTAGAATCACCTCGAACTGATATGACTCAGAAAGAGGCAGTGTTGCTTGATTGCTTGATTGATCGCGACCGAGAACAGCACCGCACCGTATCGTATCGTATTGCTAATCAGGGTGTAAGAAGAGACAGAGTTTAAC